GAGTTGCGTATGGAGAGGATTTTCAGAGTCTGACAGAATAATGTTTGCTGATTTCTTGCAGGAATCCAGGTGTCTATCTACAATAGTATTAACGAGTTGGTTTAGCAACAACCCACTCGCTCTACTGATGGCTTTTAGTGCCCTACGTAGTATAACAAAGTCTTTCCTAAGTAGCCCGGGAAAGATTAAGGGAGAACAGTCTAAGCTGTTCAGGGGTGGTTGAGTCACACACACAGCCAGTAAAATAAGCGGTTACTGCCTCGACTACTCTATAGACCTCGGTTTTACATCAGATATAAAAACACTACTTGGAGAACTGTTCCGTATTATTGGGTTAATTTCAGAGTGTAAAGTCAGCTGACTGAATGACCTCTTATGATGACTATTAAAGTATGACGATGAGCGACATTCTGAGTTGATGTTTTACTTCTTATTTTTGCAAAATTTGCAAAATGATAGCGTTAGTGACAAACTGTAATTGTTTAACTATTTCAAACTCCAACGCTAGTGGGACCGATGTTATTTTCTTTGCTACCTTGAGTATATACTTTATAAATTTCGTACCATCCTGAAACATGATTAGGTTTAATGTTAGAGAGCTGAAGTAAACAGACAGGAAGTTTTGAGTAGAAATTTTGGGTGTTTGTCAACACTAATAAGTAAGGTGTGTTTATAATGAGGAAATCGGTACCCAAATTGAAATTTAAAAATATATCCTTAAGCAATTTACTAAAATGTGTTGCTCTTAAACTATATGAACTTCTACCGATATTTTTAGGTAGCTATATGTACTGATAATTTTAACACACTACAATGTCTTCTTTGTCAACTACAATAAGGCTAGCTAACCATTCAACAGCTATTTTCCGAACGAACTTATACACACAACCTTTATTTCAATTTGCCAGCATATGAAGAACAGTTATTGTTTACCTTTAAGAATGAAGACATTTCAGAGAAAGTGATATGAAAGGTATGTGTTCTTTCATTGCTGACTTCTCTGTGCTGCACATCTGCAGGTGACCTTGACGTTAAACTTGTATTTCCCATGACAAAATACTCTCTGTGTAACATCAGATTATACTTCTCTGAATATCAGTCTACTGCTCAGTGGCTACAGGATAGATGTCTTCAAGTGCTAATGAGAGGACATAGTCGTTTTGGCTGCTAGTCAATGACACTGGTTGAGAGAACCGCTACATCTTGAAGTGACAAAAGGTAGAATTCACAATTCACAGGATTCTAATCCAGTGAGTGAGTAGTGAATGCGTAAATACAAGGTCTCGTGTTCTATTTCCGCTGAATTTGTTGGTGAACGCCATTGATCAATCCTTAAGCTCCTTAGACATACTTCTATAAAACACAAGATAATATATATGGCTTCTATGGAATAAAGTGAATAAACCTGTGTAAATCATTCATGATGCTCTTTTCAATGTGAGCTACCAAGATAGAAAGGTACGAGTAGCAGTCATTTGATAAAGTGTTTACAGAATAAATGACAATTAAAATAACCTCCTCTGGGTGTAATTATTAATTAACTTGAACACTTTAAATAAGTAGGATAAGAAAAAAGGAGGTAGATTGTATGATTAAAAAAAATGTAGACAGGAAATGTTTCTTTTTAATGAGTAAAGTGTATACAGAAACCACTTGATAATGTTTTCAATTTGCATTTTAACAAATAACATTATAATGTACTTTTGAATATTTGACAATTATTCAAAATTTCATTGGAGATTTCTGAAGTATTATTATTTTACCCTTTAGATTAAGTAAATTTGAGATTATTAATAGTTAAATAAACTGTTGTTATTTCCACCTTTATTAATGTATATATTTACTTGATAAAATGTACATTCAAATAAACACTGAATAACGGTTAGACACAATGACTAGGTGACTTTTCTTTTGGTAAAATAATATTATGGTTCTGAGAAAATTTATTGTTAGTACTTTGAGACTAATTAAGAGGGCTGTTATTACTAAACTAATAAGTTAAGTGGCTGTTAATACTTTCTTTCTTCCGAGTATTACATCTAAAAAGTACTAATTTTATTAAGTAAAGAACAAAATAGACCATGAGGGTGTTCATCATTGATAAGGATGACTGACAAATGAATTCAAGATTGCACAAATGTGTATCAGTTTAAGTCATTATGTGTTAAAAAGGCACACAGAAAGAGGACAAATAAAATGGAAAATGATGAGTCACAAAGGAGAGAGGATAATTAAATGAACATCAATGAATGTACTCAGAATAAGAAAGACAAATACAGTTTTGCCCACTTTAGGCTACATAATGCCTAATGAAAGCTGTAACTATGTAAACGACATAAACTCATAGACAGTACAATAACAACACCATATTCGTGAATGTAAATCGACAATCCTATGCTACTAAATAACCGTTTGTTCTCATCAGTCAGTAATAAATTCATGAACAAAGAGTATTTCTTAGTATGATAAATTCTAAAGGAAGATAGATAGGCTTACAAGAGATGGGGATGTGGCAGGTTGGTATAGGCGATTGATTTCCAACTAATGGACCACGGGTTCGAATTCTGCTCTATCTACCCAGGATTGGGCAGCCAGATGGTACCACTAGCCATCAAACAAAATTGGTGTGGTTCATTGGGTGCCAACAGCATGGAATCGCAGGTGGTTTCTGGAGTAACATTCCATTTCATTTTTTTATTATTAGATCTGGTAAAGACGATCTCATGGTTGTTATGAATTCTGAGAAAACAAAGCAACAGAACGCCGTGACACTGGACCTCTTCAAAAGTCAACATAGGAAAGCCAATGGCTACTTCGAATAAACTGAATGCTGAAACTAACGAAATGTTGCAGTCAGTGTAAGAGAAACTCCGACTATCACTTCGGTTTCCGTTGGCACCAAAAGATGTAGTCTGTTTAGATTTTATGCACTACCCGAAATTTATAAACCAGACTTACTATTATATCTAGTTGTGGATTTTACTAATTTTTCAGTCTGCAACCTATCTAAATGCATATCATAAATACTGGAACTATATTAAGTGAAAGTGGAATATGAAGTAAAGAGTTTGTATAAATTTAAGGTCTTGGTTTGTATAAAGGATGAATGAATGTAGAGGCCCTAGATACATGGGAGAATTCCAAAAGTCTGAATAGATGTGTCTGTGTGATGTTAGCTGATGCATGACTAGTCATGGCTGATAAGTAAAACAAACCTGTATGATTAATTTTCATGACTATTTGGTTATTCTGGTTATGTGTATCTTCTAAAGCAACATATGTTTATGTGTTTTATTGAAATAACAAATGTTTTCCTTATGAATGCATGTGATTAAAAACGTACATTCACACACTAATGACTCACAATCGTAACCAACATTAGCACCGTTTTGATTTATTTCATTTTGAATATGCTGACAACTGATATTCATATTTACACTCATACATATTATTGTATATCACATATACATTCTCAAATATAGATCCTCTTTCCATTTGCCAGATCACCATTATCTTTATTTTTACAATGTTGTTAAAGATTGATATAGAAGTACACACGCTGTGTACAGCGCATAGATCTTCTGAAATAAACTCTCATCCAAAATGGATACCCACCAAGATTCATCGACAAGAATATCAAACCAAAAGTCCAGAGGAACGAAAAATTACTTGTTGCAAAAAAAGAAAGAAACTTTACATGGACTTGAATTTTAAGAGGGACATAGCATGCGATATCCTTAATAAAGGAATTTCAGCATCTTTGAGAAAAGCATTCTCAGCAGTGGTAAGAGTGGTGTTCTCCAAAAGCCTTTAGGATAGGATCTCGCATCTGACCAATTCCATGAGCATATATCAGTCCACCTGTTGCTATGGAGCCAGTTACATTGGTCATTCGATGCGTATCCTGTCCAAAAGGATTCGAGAACAGTATCCCACATGGCTGCAAAAAGGTAGCAGTGGCTCTATAAAGAGTGCGATTATTCAACACCTTGTCAACACTAACCATTCCATCTCAACAAACGCCTCCTTCGAAGTAATTTAAAAAATGAAGAATAACCTGCTAAAGGTAATACACTTTCGTCTCCTCTGCACTGCTGAAGCCTTTCAGCTAGAAAAAAAGATAAAATGTACCCTTTTATATAAACCCCTGAAACTTTGATTATTTCCCTGAAGAAACTAGGACCAATTTAACGACCAAAACATCGGAATTATTCATTTCAATAAACCCTGAGATTCATATAATTATAATCATTATACATGACCTATTACTGCCAAGATCATTTGTTATTTAGTCTCAGATAGAGACATAATGATTTCTACCCAAGTCACCTAGTACTCTCATTGCAAGAAATGGTGTTGCTGAGAGTTCACTTATAGCATGTTCGTTGCATCCTTCTTATTTTGTATAAAACGTAAAAGGGCTGACAGTACGATGGTACTTACAAGAAATAACAATGGACGATATAATTTTTTTCTAAAATAATTGATAAACAGCATGCAGAAGTCCATCGTCAAAACTAAATTAAAATCTGACTTTAATTTTCATAATGCAATACTAACTAATCTCAAGCTGTCTTCATGATACAGATATTCTATAGTAACCTTTTACCATTTCTACTTTATTAGTATTGCTCCGTTACTTCTGAATCAGCTTTACAAATATGCTCAGCCTTAAACTCATTACTATTTTCTTAACTAGTTATTTTTTTTATCACAATACATAATTTTCTTGAGTAGTACTCAATCAGCTATTTTCGATGGTCTTTACATAACTGAAAAGAAACCAATCAAATTAATCTGACTGCTTCAAATATTTTCCAATTTAGGATGAAAACTTAGCGAATTATCTTACTACAATCACTAGATAAATTTCTCGCTTGAAGGAAATTACTTTCAAGAAGGATTCTAGTGATTTTTTGTGCGCTGAACATTATTGTCGAGAAAACTCATTTCATCCAGCTTTTTTTTTTCTATACTTTCGTTCTTCTTATTGTCTACAGGTTATAGCTAAAGACAGTGCACCAGAACCGTATACTTTAACTGGTACTGCAATAGTTGAAATTATGCTTGCTGACGAAAATGATGAAACTCCACAGATTAATGTAATGCTGTTACAGCCAAATTCTGGATCAGATTCTCTTCAGTTATCTAACCATCATCATTCATTTCTGTTGAATCAAAAAAATACAATTCATCCAGACGGTGCAAAATTATTACGTGAATATACAACAACAATCAGCGAAAATCCACAACCTGAAACTGTGATCGCTTACGTTCAGGTAATGCTGTATTCATTTATTACAGGAGATATTGCAATTATTATCATTACCATCAGTATTAGTATTAATCCCTTAGGTTTCAATTGGAACATAAGGCTTCATCAGTGTATCTCAATTTCATTCTCTTCTCTATAATCCTTTTTTAACTGGCTCCATGGTTGCCAATAAGCTGTCATCTCTTTCTCCTCTTCACATGGTCTCCTCCATGTCACCTTCGGATGCCCAACTCTAGCGACGGGAAAAGCAGTTAATGAAAGTCTGCAGCTTGTTGGAAATGCTTTTGGTGATATGCTGGCCAATTCTCTGGGCCATACAGGGTTGAAAATCGGGATCTTACCCTTTGTGTTGAGTGCAACATATTTCCACGCTGATTTCAGATTAATGAAGGTTTGCTTGGTGTCCCTGATCCCGGCTGTCTTTAATATCCTCATCCATTCCACCTGTCATTGAAGCGATGCTGCCCAAATAAGTGAAGGAAGGCATCTTGTTCAAATTTCTCCCATTGATAGTTATTGGCGCTCGTCTTATTTACTAACTTGTCGTAAACCGGGAAATACAGGGAAACTTGAGTGTGGTACTAGCAACCCTATTCCATAAAACCAGTTAAATAGCTTGAGAAATGTCAAAACACAGAAAAAAAATATTTCAATAATTGTTATTAGCAGAATAACTACATTTATTAACAGTTTATATGACAATTCGATGCCTTATGGTTTGTAAACAGTCCACCTAAATACTACATAGCATAAATACTTTGGACTGGACACTAGTTTGTAAGTAACTAGTGTCACGTGACTAGTACTTTGTTCGGTGCAGAATGAATTCTGTCAGTTAAGTTTGTAATATAGCCACCATGTTAGGTGTACGTTCTTCTTCAAAAGTCATAAAACGCCTCTTACTAATATACAAGAAAAAACTGGAAGATGGTTTTAATGAAGAATGTCTTTTTGTCCCTTACCTGAACTAATTTGGGAATTTATTATATATTCACGAATGTACAGTTTGGTAGACAACTTTGTAGGAAAGACAAGTTTTATTGCGTTTCCACTATCCTTTTCTTTTGGCTGTGGTCAAATAAGTGAATTCCTTCATTTACAGGAAATAATACATCAGGCAACTTTTGAACTCTGACTGCAGCACTGAGTAACGAGGGGTTTGAATCTGCGGAGGAAAACAATTCCCCAAAGACTAAAGATACTCCCTGTTGATGAGTACAGACTGGCAGGAAACCTTGAGTTAGGGCTTCTAGCCGACTACCTCCAAACATTTAGAATAAATTCACCTACCAAATTGTGGGTAACTTTGTGAAATATATCTAAAAGTCGTCAATCAGGTTTGGAATGTGATTATTTTCACATCTGAGAACACTTCCATGATAACCATTGATATCAGCTTATAAAATGCATCACCTATATCTGCCTACTGTTAGAAAAGTTATGTACCGAATATGATTGGCACTGATGAGATTTGCAACCTCAGTAATGTTTCCTTTAACCTTGAAATATCATTCATGACGATCAAGGGTAACAATCTCACTCCGTGAAAACAACACCGTCACCACTACCGAAACTTTAAGAAATTGCTTGAAACCTGCGAACTCAAGGAAGGAAGAAAAAACCTGAAGATATTTGCCAAATAGTTCATTCGGTCTTTCAAGAAAATCTATTGCTCAGTTAGATGCAATAAACTGACACATCTTTTAGTGAACTGTCGAAAGTGAAACATAAATCCAAATAAGCCTCTTAAAAAATCAGTGGAATCCTAATCTACTTCGAAAAAAATCTAATAAAAAGTTGATTATCCTTACTTTGACCAATTATGAATCCAACAGAAACAAAAATAATAGGAATCGGTAATATTTTAAAGCATCAAATGATCCCAAACAGTGATAACTTAAATTTTTTCCAATCATATCTTCTTCTTCTTTACTTAAATGTGAAGTAGAAAGATAATGAATTATGCTGGTTAATAATAGCACAGTAAACCAATTAGTCTAACCTTTCAGAAATTCGCTAGAAAGGTATTCACGGATAATTCAGAATAGTTTGACATTAATGTGAATGAATTCAGGTCAGTTTACCTGAACTATATATTTCCATCTTAACGCACTGTAACAGATGCTTTCTGTTATTCATTAATTCTCAGTTACGTAAAATTAAGAGTAACAGGCAACACTTTTATGGAACACCTGGCCTAATACTTAGGTTACGATATCCTAACTGTTAATCATTGCGCTTAGCGGTCCAAATTTATACTCAAACTTTACAACTGTTATTGATCTTAATCAATATATTTGTAACTTCGATTCCTGATTGTTTATTTTCACAAGAATTTACGATGACTAAAGATATCTTACTATTTGTTTGGTGATTTGTATTTCCCACTGATTGACTATAATGGACCAAAATATTCGGGTACGGTTGACATGTCGGATCCTAGTACGGACATTTCAAAAGTGTCTGAGGATTAAAACCACATTATTTGGTTGATAGTGACTAAAGGTGTGTAATCCATGATGCGCATTTCCTTCTATTTGGAACCTGTTAGTTGGATATACCTGCATCTTTAGTGATTGGTGATGTTCTCACTGAGACTCGAACTAAGCATCTTTCATTATCCTCTAAGTTACTTGAGCCACCTCTTGTGTGACAGGTATCACTTGTTATTTGAAACGTTTGAAACGATGGGTACCGGGAATTTCATGCACATCCAGTTGACTGGTCCTAAATAGAATAAAATGTGCGTGGTGGATTCCACTGCTAGTCACCATCCACCAAATAACTTAAAGATATCTGATGCTATAATTGAAAAGTATACTTTAGTTTTAAGAATGTTCACTAGTCAACCTGCGTAATAACAGATTTTGTCATTAATTTGAACTATTATGCATCTGACTGCACGTCTGTGTAAAGTAGCTGGTAACTGATTAATACAAATTGAATGATAAAAGCCTCTAAACGATTATACTTTTCAGCTATTGCACAAATAGTTATATTTAGACCATACAGTATCTTATAATGTGCCTTTTTTCATTCTTTGTTGTACATACAGGTGTATGATCCTGACCATCATGGTCAAGATCATATTCACTGCCGTCTTGGACCAACAGACAACTTCACATTACAGTATGATCCATCCTCATCGTCAACATCATTAGCTTCAGTATCAGCTGCAACATCGTCATTAGCAGGCAGTAATTCACTGCTTTATTTTTCAAAAAGTAATTCTATATATGATCATTCACTGCAACAGTCATCGACGAATATCATACAAAATAAACAAGACTATCGCTTAATAACAGGGACAAGATTAACAGAATTATCATCATCTTATTCACGTTTAGATCGTGAGACAACTCCTGTGCAAACAGTCACTTTAACTTGTACAGACAGTGTTGGTAATTCAGCTTATGTTCTCATCAAAATACAGCTATTTGATTTAAATGATAATCCACCACAGTTTGTAAATAATGCACATTTTGTATTTCAAATACCCGAAAATCAAGAACTTCCGGGTAATAAACCCATCTGGTTAGGACGTACAATAGCTGTTGATTATGACCAAGGCATAAACTCTGTGATCACTTATCGCTTAGAAAGTGCAGGAAGTCATGAAGATAAAGATTATGTAGGAAGTGATAGTGAAACAAATTCCATTATTGCTGGTAGTATTAACAGTGTATTTGAATTAAATCCACAAACAGGTGATTTGTATGTTAAAGTTGTATTTGACAGAGAGACAGCACCAAACGACGGTGTATATCGGTTTAAAGTCCTAGCTGTTGATGGTGGAGAACCTTCTTTAACAGGAACAGCTCAAGTAGAGGTATTCATACTGGATATAAATGACTGGGCACCTCAATTCACCCGTGAAGTGTACACATTTAGTGTACCAGAAAATTTGAGAATTCATGAAATTGTTGGTGAAGTTGAAGCTATAGATCGCGATGCAGACAGTAAGGGAAAAATAACATATCAACTACTCACACATTCATATCAACCGGTGAATGAAATTTCTGACTGGTCAACACAACCAAATAATCAATATATTACGCGCAGATTGTACTCAAGATCATCCGCAACTGAAACGGAGATTAACAGAGGAATTGCACCAATAGGAAATATCAGTGAGTTGAAAAATACCTCTGCTGATGAATTAATTAGAGACAAACGTTTCAATAGCACCAGTAAGCAACCTATTGAATCATCAGATCAAATCACTGAAGAAAAATTGGTAACACCACATGTTCCGAATACAAAAACTGAAACATTCAGAGAAGAAGCGAGATCGGCTAAAAAAATAAACCATTCACATTCAGATAGATCGCCTACCCTGATAAATTATTTTGCAGTTGATCGTTTAACCGGTAAGATACGGCTGATACGTTCATTGGATCGTGAATCTATCGCGTTTTTCACAATAGAAATAGTTGCAATTGATTCAGCTCCAGTTTCGCCAATTACATCATTACGTCAGATTGACAGCATACTTTCACCACCAGATGCTAGAAATAATAATAGTTTCACATCACAAAGTGCGTACTATACACCTGTACAGAAGTCACTATCTTCTACTGCTACTGTTGTTATTGCTGTAACTGATGTGAATGATAATCCACCGATTTTTCGCCGACCAAATACATCAACAGCTATTCAGCTTAGTTTACATGAAACGTTGGGCAGGCAACTTCTTACTCTTGAGGCGACTGATGCTGATGAAGGTGAAAATGCTCGTATCACATACCAAATAAGATCAGAAGTACCTAGACCGCCTGGTGGGTCAGGAACTGGACATTTCGCTATTGATGAATCAAGTGGGATGTTATTTTTAGCAAGGTAAAAAACAATTTGTTTATTTTTTGTTTTTAAATTGTATATCACGTTACAATGTTATATTAAAATTGATAAAATTATGAATCACTGGTAGAAGCAATATACAACCAGACAGAGATCATTTTTGACGTTACATCGAGTCAGCTGAAGGTACATAGACCTTGTCTCCTAGCTGCTATTCATATTTGCTCTATGATTTCAATCTGCTTTAGTCACTTCAGAGGTTAGAAACTTTGTCACTAAGCTATTCTAAACACGACTGAGTTTCTGTTGTCTACCGATAGGTAATCACTGCACCAGTCTAGTAGTAGTCCAGAAGCCAATTCACATGCAGTTAAGTTGTAATAGTTATTAACAAGTAACAGTTCCATTTGCCTAACTAAGTAGGTCAATTTATCATTTCATAGCATAGCAAGAAACGTTTTCAATAGTAGACACAAAAGATGAAATCACTATCCTTAAATGAGTGGTATTTGTGAAGACTATCGAAGAGTCCGAGGGAAATCTGCTCATCGTATTCAGAGGTAATTAATACAAAACAGAACTCCTCATGTATTGAAAGACCTCTGGTTATTCACACAGGAACCCAAACAAAATCATCCCAGAAATATTTACGAGGTAGCACAAGATATTACATAGTTTTTTACGGAATAGTTGTCAGAGGGAAAAGACATGGCTCAAATAATGACACATACAAATGCTTTTTGTATACACTAACAGATGACTTAGATCATTTTATTAGGAATGTGATATCGCTACTAATATATGCAACACAACTTAAACGAATGACTTTTATTTTCATGAAGTAAATATCCTCTGATCTCTGTTTTGTAAGCAGAACTCTATTTTATGTGATCAGCTGGAAGAATAATCCCCAATACCTTAACAGTAGAATTAATGTCAGTAAAAAGTTTGAGTACTATGGAATAGATCAAATAAAGTATAATTATATTTCAATACGGGCAGTAATTTTGCTCGAAACATTACCAATAACAAAACTTGTCATTGTGTGGAAACTATTGAAATATAACTTTACTTTATTTGACTTTGACAGTATTTGTATACGACAATAGAGAGTGGGGAATCATTGAAACTTGAACAATGAACTTTACGACATTTTGTGTGTGGTCAGAACTTATTGGTAAAGCCTATGGCGTAAGTCTACGCGGTACCTTTATTAACACATCCTTGTAGAGAAATTAAGATCAGTAAAACTGCCAGAAAGACTAGGTACTCTCAACTTTTTCATTGGACATTAGTTAGTAACTAGTGTAATGTGTTTAGTGCTTTGTTTGTTTGCCTCAAACCACCTAATACTCTTGACTTTGTTAAGTTTCATTATCACCTGCTGATTTCAATAGCAATGCAGACTACAACCAAGTCAAATAAATCTACATTTTCCTACATATTTCACGTAAATATAGCTATCCTTGAAACTTCAAAAGACTTTTCAGCCTACAAACTTTTAGCGTGCATTCCAGTAAAAGTGATTGGAGCTGTGTTAGTCACTGAAGCTTAACGAATCCATCAGCCATTTTAACCGATTTGTCTGTTATTCGATTACCTAAAACAATCCAAGTAGTAGGTAGGAAGAAACAATTATATATAATGAAGGCAATCTGCATCTCAGATGGAAACTTTTTGATTATAGTTGTATTCTCTGAGCTATATGGATTGATTGGGGAGCTTTCATCGTCCTTCTAGACAACGTTTTTGTGGTCTAATTTCAGCATAAAGTAAGCTTTTAAAGTTCTCCATGAATGACATAACTGTGTCTCTTGATAACCTTGACTGTGAATGGTTGTCTTGCGAAGTTTTATTATCTTTGTGTTAATTAGTATTGATGGAAATCATTCACGCGAAATTCCAAAATACTCACGTAACATTGGAGTAAGCACTGAAGATTTTGTCTAGGAGGACGATGAAGGTACTTTACAGTTAAACCAACCAACATAGAGAACACAGCCATATCAAGTTACTAGTTTTATTTAATAAACTAATATATTGTCACCGTAAAGTGAATCTGGATGGTGTTCAAAAAATTCACTGATAAATATTGAAGGCTACATGGTGCACTTCACTATGCATCCAATTGTTAAAACTATAACTATGATCAAATTTCGTTCAAACGATTATTTGTGCGCGCGTATTTTACTGCCTGAAGTTTCATGAGACAATAAAATGCTTTTACTGAACAGAAAGAACTATAACTTAATTATGCAGTTTACAATTCAGACAATCGTTTTGTCTTATATAGAAGCGAAGAAAACTGTTCTCTTGTGCTTACATTCTACAGTGTAGTTTCAGAATTTCACTTTCTATTTACTACCAGTTGAACAGAAACAATCAGTTTAATTATATCAAAAAGCAACATCTAAAGGCCGTTTTCAATATTTCCATTCCTTTTCACTCTGAGCATGATACAGGGCTACAAGCTTTAAAGTTTCAGTAGCAATTGTGTTGTTTTTATGATGTAGGATAGCTAGCCTCACTCCTGAGTTTACTGCTGGCTAGTAAACTATATTAGGTTTAGGAGTATGTCTGCCTAGAACTGAACCGGGACCTATCGTGTAGCTGGCTGGAATTCTACCACAACACCAACACATAGTTTATCTGGAGTGTATTATATTTACGAAACACATTTTGTAGGATCCGATCTCACAAAAGTACTTGTCTCATGTATTTATAGAGAAGTATAAAAGACAAGAGTTAAGTCAGTAGTGGCTAAAGTGTTAGTTTTGGGGTCGAAATAATATGCACAATCCTTATGGCTTGTGTTGAAAGTACCCCTAGATTCTATACATAACTTATATTCCCTAGTACAACATACTGTTTCACTATGTGAAACTGTTGACAAACAATCCCTGTAGGATTATATTCATTTATAGTTCACAAGTACAACTTTGTACTTTTTTCAATAAGGCAGAACTTCGTGTAACAAACTGTTTTGATGTTTAACTTGGAGATTCTCATAAGTAGATAAGTATTGAAGAAAATGTCTCAAATGTAGGCAGTATAATATTCAGCTAACACGTTTATGAAATTTATTGTCAATGTCTGTGCTAAGTAGGGACATTCACACTATAAACTGAGCTGTGTACAGCAGACAACAATTTATTACTATCATATTTATTACTACAAAGTCAGTTGGCTAGCATTTCTTCTGCAGAAGCCGAATCCATTAGATCTCTCATGTTGTTTAGGCCCTTGATAATATTTATGATCCTCTTAAGTTACCGTGTATGATCTAATTGAAATTAATTTTACCATTTTCTTATTTTTAAAGACCTTTAAACAATACAATCACACATCGTTTTGTTGTTGAAGCGTGTGATGGTGGGTCAGGTACTTCAAAACGCTGTACACTGTCTCCAAGCATACGAATAACTGTATTCGATGGCATCAATGAACCTCTAACCAATTCGAATGGTGAAGTACTTGTTTACCAAACCGGTACAGCTCTGCATAGTGACAGTATTCATCAAAGTCGTAGACAGTCTGATCTACCATTCGATTTAGACGATTTGACAATTGGATCTACTATGGCTGCACAAAACAACAGAAGAAATGAAGTTGTTGTTGTCTGTTTAGTAGTAATATTCAGTATTTTACTTATGGCAACAATTTTATTAGTTATCTGTTTGGTACATCGTCGTGGATTCAGTGCACGTCAGTGGATGGTCAGTCGGTCAGACAATTTAACAACAGAGAAACAAAATTGTAAAAAAGATCTCAGTATAGTCAATAAAGCAGCTAATAATCGGTCAAATATTGACTTGTGGATGGAAAACCGTAAGTATTACTATTATAATTGTTTTTGCCGAATAAATTTAATAACAGTTAAAATATAAATCACTGTTTAAGCTTTAATTAGTTCATCTTGATAATTCTATGAAAAATAAGTTGGGCTTGAAACGCCATCCATAAATGGCACTGAGTGATTCTGTTTTATTTTATCAAACAAGCTATTGTCTAATGGAAAGAAATAGGTTATTAAGGGACAATATGTGTAACACATAAGTCACATTTAACGATAGTTATGGCAGAGTTATCACTAGATTGGATTTTGAATCAGTGAGTATTCTGAAACACCAAATCTAGATCCGAGATTTGACTACATCCCATGGTCTTATAACTGGCTTTCGGAACTCCACAACTTCATTTCAAATAGTGGAAAGAAAATCTTGAAAGGTATCATCTAAAATAAACAAACGATAAGTAGCAGGTTTGTTCTAATTAATAATACTGTGCAATCTTAGCAACTGCCCACTTATTTTCAAGTTATTTTTACCCTGAAGATAGAAACGATGTAGGCAGATACTACACAGCTTTCTTACACTGTAATTCAAACCTCGATAAATCAAAAAAGACTAAATTTGAAGTGTAACATGATATCACTTTATTTCACAGGTTCTCATAAGCTGCACACTACCTGGAATTACAGTTGTTATAAAAGGAAGAATGGAATAATATCAGAGAAAACGTTATGAATTAAGAAATCCATAATGTAAACATCCCCATTTTTAGTTCATATCATCACCAATATATATGCACTTCAGAGTAGAAGGCGAGGGACAGGATAGTACAGAAAACAGAAAAAGTAGTAAACAATGCTATCTTATAAAAGTTCACACATCAGTCCGAGAAGAGTACAGTTCATAAGTTTTCTGATCAGCTCAGTGAGCTGAAATCAATAATATGAATGATTACTCAATAAATGCGATCAAAGTCAAAATGCATTCAGCAAGCAAGTGAAACAGTAATCATCATCTTCCAGTATTGGTTTTGTAGGGATTGCTTTTTGTTTGATTGGATGGAGGATTTCGTCATGAGCTGACATTGGTTAGGGAACCATTGGAAAACCTGGGAGTACTGGGAGGTGTCCAGTACTCCCAGGTTTTCCAATGGTTCCCTAACCAATGTCAGCTCATGACGAAATCCTCCAACTAATCACGATCTGATTATGCATGTGTAAATTTGGATAAAAACGTCTAAATCGGTCTATAAAGTATTGTAAACAGGATTTTGAAAAGGAAAAATGTCTAACTCGCCTTTGAAACATAGTCCTAAAAGTACTACAGTTATCAAATTAATTAAAAAGCCCAACATCAATAAACCTGTGGATGTGCACTGTCGAATAGTCCCAAACTCTGAGGAAACAGATGTTTAGTGCTACCTGGTTTCCAGTAATCACTAACTAATGTTGATCCGTGAATCAATCTGCATTGAAATTGAAAAATAATCTGAAATCTTTGAATTCTACATATTTTTATTTACAGTGACATTTCGAAAAGCATATCATACAGTTTACAGAAACATGTGATCTGCATGCTAACAAGCCCCCATTATCTCAAGTGAAAATATACATCCAAATAACGTTTCTCTCCGACTATGATTCCCCTTCGCATACTTCCATCTTTTCCATCTCGCGTTTACTATGTTCCTTTCTTCACTAATCCTTCTTTTTATTTAATGCAAAAATGCCTCAGTTTTCTTTTACTACATAACAAATTCACTATGTTATTTGTGTACTGAGGTTAGAACTAAATTTCAAGGAATAAAACAGTAACTTTTCATTCCTAAAAAAATCACATTGCAAGTGTAAGAATGTTTTCATCTTGTATCTAAATTTTATGAATTTTATCCCATAATAAACAGTAAGTAGTATAGCATAACATTTCCCATTAATTAATTAATTTTACTCTTGGCACTACCTTTATCCAAAGCAATATCGCCAGTCAAACATTCTACAATCCTACTGATGATATCATAAAGGTAGGCGTTTCAGCACTGCAAAAGATTTAAGGCTAAATAATGTTTATGTCTATATATATATATATATATATATATATATATATATATATATATACATGTATATACAGTACGCTGATAATGTTAGTTTAGGTAAGCACTAATGTGTTCCATAAATCTTCCCTCATGTTTTGAAGTAGGTGTTAAGCTGTGTCTAATTTAGTACAAAATATATACACGAATGTGCATCACTTTAACTGCACAAATGGATTATTGATTAGGAACTGTTGTTATTATTAATCAACAAACAAACAAACAGAATATTCAGTTATGTAAAAATGTGCTTGTGATTGGAAGAATGAATAATAAGAGTTTTTTCTTTAGAAAAAGAGAATTAAATTTTTACTTAAACTTTAGAAAAACACAACCCAGTATATCATGTTTTCTTCGTCATCCAACTCATGGGCAAAAACGTTTATTGAACCGTTAGGGCATTGGTAGCTTCGTTGGATGTAGGACGTTTTCTTCGCACAACATTTACATGTTTTGTTTGTAGCACTTCTTACTGTAAGTTATCAGTAGTCACATCACTTTCACTTCGTTCAGCCTAATATATGAGTAATCTGAGCCGCAGACAACTGTGTGCTGATTCATACTATGCTGGTAAATAATATAACCAGTATCAGTTGTGTTCAGAGCTCAGTGCTTGTCAGACAATATAGAAATGAAGAAGTGAGTGAAGTAAATTATTGACATTCAGAATTTAAAAAGCCTAGCCGTTTATAAGCGCTACTGATATGATACCCTATGAATCGAAGGTTGTATAGAGCGCCAATACATATGTTGTCTGCGTAACTTGCAAATTATGTGTGTCTTTAAATTCATTGGTGATGAGAACAAAGGCGAAATCAGTATTGTTCTCTTCCCCAAACTGTATTTAAACCAATCATCTGATACATCAAAGTACTAGACCACTAAGAAGGAATCTGAAGCATTGAATATTCTATTGCCGCTACAGTAACGTCACTTGTTTCCTGTAGATTACATTGTAAATAATAAACAAACCTGATAGTTTTTTGATTGGACACTAGTAACTAGTGCGACGTGTCTAGTCCTATTTTTGGGGGCCTTACCGACGATTGCCAACTAGCACGAGACCTAGGTCCAAGGCTTCCTGCCGATTGCCTCCAGCTATCTAAACCTGATAGTTGTTATTTTACACCACTGATTTACACCGAGGTAGGAAGGAATGATAAGGCGTTTAGAGCGGTGACTGCAAACATAAACTTCAATAATGTATAAATGATTTTCTCAAAACCACTCCACTAAATATGAATCATCAAGCAACCTTTGCCAATGAGTTAACTCCGGTATCTGTCGGTTAGCAGTTAACAATAAAGTTTTGCAAACTTGTTTTAGTTGTATGCTAATGTATCTTCCATTATGTAAGACATCCTAGTGTAACACTGGATTTGCATTACCAGAAAATACTTTTTATTATTGATGATTATGGAGAATGTAAATAACTGACAAAACTAGCACGGTAAAGAAAAGGTTCCGTCATAAGGACCTCTGATACTATTCATATTATTTTAGCCTAAATTCACATCAGTATACATTTCACTATTTATAGTATTGACTGGTTAAGATGAAAAGGATACTTGTTGTACATGCCAAGTCACCATCTACTTCGATGACTAGTGTTGCTTGGCATAAGGTTGAGTTAGGAGAGTTAGAGTTGGTTTAATCGAAACCTGACACCAGTCTATGAAATCTTTGACAGTCGGTTTGAAACACGTAGGAAGGTGCTGACTGCTTCGTCAGGGTCCTAAGAACCAATGGTTGAAGACTATTGGTGATGTGACTCATAATCGTTCTCAGTGGCATAGTTGGATTCACTCCTAATCGTCTCCCAAACCCATTAAAACCTCATGTTATGCATGTTACTGTTCTGTCACTTAGTACGATGTCTTCACATTGATTTTTTATTTAAAATGATTTTTGCAAATAGCCACTGGTATTAGAGTATATTTGAATTAGAGTTATACTACGCGGGTTATAAACTTAGAAATAATGATATATACAGAAACATATACAAGCAAAACAATTGGAAAATATTTCTAATTAATCTGATAAAATCCGAGTGTATCTACTTATACTGCATGCATCAAACAGTAACAATTGTCACAGTTTTTCTCCAACACACACAACCAACTACGCCTAAACCAAATGAGTAGAGTGATATGCGTATCAGTAAAATGTATTCAATTCCCTTTTTATTCTGCCTCGTTCATCAGTCATTATTGGTGTTTGGTTATAACTGCGACAAACTGATGCCAAATAAGATAAAAACTTTACATATTTTTAAAGATATTAAGAAATACGCATTACCGTTTTATGTATTGAATTCAGTGTTAAAAATAATCTTTGTCGCGTCAATGATGACGCACTTCTGACATAGATATCACGTGTTGCTTCTAGTATCAAGTCCTTGTTTTTCAAATATCCGACAGTGTTGACTGAAAAATAATATGAACTAAGTAGGATTGTAGTAAAACTTATTCAGAAAAGGGGGGAACAAAACGGTTTTCCATCTTGAACAGGATATTATTAGACACAAAATCAATGTTTCGTCTTACCTATATTACTAGATGAGACAAATAGTTGTCGCCTTTCGTAACGAAGGCGCTTCAACTCTTAAATGTGTTGATTACAATGTCCAGTTTTATACCAACAGATTTTTAGGGGGTGCTTTAAAGTCTACTTGACTAGTAAAATTTAACAGAATTACTCTGACTGAATAGAAAAACTATTTTCTGTGCTTTTCCAACACTTGTCATAGTCATGAAGAAAATCATGGCCACTGATGGCTGTAGTTTCAGCTAAAATTTATTGAAATGGCTAACACTAATTGCATAGTTTTCATTTTTGTATCACTGTAGTACTCGTTATGTAGAATTCCATAGTAAATATCTTTGGGGCTGCAAGAACATTTTTGTCTTTGTGAAACCCTAATGTCTGTTTTTGAGCGTTTAACAAAT